GTGTTCTGTGTGTAATAATTGGTGTTCTGTGTGTAATGATTGGTGTTTGGTGTGTAATTATTGGTGTTCTGTGTGTAATGATTGGTGTTCTGTGTGTAATGATTGGTGTTCTGTATGTAATGATTGGTGTTCTGTGTGTAATGATTGGCGTTCTGTGTGAGATGATTGGTGTTCTGTGTGTAATGATTGGTGTTCTGTGTGGGATGATTGGTGTTTTGTCTGTAATGATTGGTACTTGGTGTGTAATGATTGGTGTTCTGTGTGTAATGATTGGTGTTTTGTGTGTAATGATTGGTATTTTGTGTGTAATGATTGGTGTTTTGTGTGAAATGATTGGTGCTTGGTGTGTAATGATTGGTGTTCTGTCTGTTCTGATTGGTGTTCTGATTGGTGCTATGTGTTCTACTTGGTATTCAGTGTGTTCCGATTGGCGATCTATGTTCTGATTGGTGTTCTGTGTGTTCTGATTGGTGCTCGACGCACGGGTGAGGGGCGGGAACGGACCAGTGCACAGTTATACTAGATCAAGACTACGCGCGCAACTCGATCGACATCGATATCCTCATAATAATAAGACTATGTAGCCAAGTGCCGTGTATGTGTATAAGTCTATGTAGCCAAGTGCCGTGTATGTGTATAAGCCTTTGTAGCCAAGTGCCGTGTATGTGTATAAGCCTATGTAGCCAAGTGCCGTGTATGTGTATAAGCCTATGCAGCCAAATGCCGTGTATGTGTATAAGCCTATATAGCCAAGTACCGTGTATGTGTATAAGTCTATGTAGCCAAGTGCCGTGTCTGTGTATAAGCCTATGTAGCCAAGTACCGTGTGTGTGTATAAGCCTATGTAGCCAAGTACCGTGTATGTGTATAAGCCTATGTAACCAAGTGCAGTGTATGTGTCGAAGCCGTGGCTGTCGTCGACTGACTTCGTACTAGTTATGTGTGGAACGCTCAATGACTACAGTATACCATGAGACGGCCATACCATTGCCAACCTGCCACAATACCAGCAATCATCACTGGCACCTACCTACCACATTACTGAAACCTATCTACCACATCACTGACACCTACCTACCACATCACTGACACCTACCTGCCACATCACTGACACCTACCTACCAAACGCTAGCAACTCGCCGCGGTTGAAGCGCTGACGCACATTGTTGAGCTCGTCCTCGTAATTGACTTTCACTTTGGGCCGTCCTTTGTCCTGCGAGTGTCTATTCGCTTCATCGCTGACTTTGCTATCGGTAAATAAGCGCACATCAGCCTCAGACATTTTGGCGGTAGGGTCGGTAGAGGATTGACGCAAGTGCATGCGACTGCCCAGAGGTATGTCTAACGGCTCATCTGCGTCATGGGATGAAGCGATGCACAATGAGATAAGAACTGAGCATTGATTCTGAGGATATATATATATATGTGTGTGTGTGTGTGTGTTGTGTGTGTGTGT